CTTCAGAAACCATCTGTTTGCAGTCTTGCTTACTGTGCAGGTACTGTTCCATAATCACTATTATTAATATTTTTAAATGTTTCAGTGTTTGTCTTTAACCCAGAACATCTTGATATAATTCTCTTTCCAGAAATAGCTCAGCGGAACGTCTTTGATTTAAAATCAGTGGGACAAACTGAGACCAGTATCACTCTACAGTGGAGCAGATCAAGCAGCATTGTCAACTTTGTTCTCCAGTATAATGGTATCGAGACACAAGTCGGAGCACAGAATGGAAGTGGACCGGTAACATACACAGCTTCATCCCTCACCCCAGCAACTAAATACACCTTTACTGTTTCTGATGTGCTTGGAAATGTTACAAACCGTGGAGTACAACTTACAGCTGCCACTGGTAAGATGATTCACTTTTACTTTTGAAGGAACTTTATCATTATTTTCACCATCAGCAGCATTTGCTTGAGATACACAATTTCCTGATTAAATTTTCAGCTTGTATAGAGCTTAGAACTGACATGGGAGACAAAATTATTTATAAGGTGGACACGAAATACTAAATCGTTCCCACAAAATATTAATTTGTGGCCACAAAGTATTTCTTCGTGAGCAAAAAACTACTAATTAGTTTACTCGAAAAACCAATTTATGCGCAAACTTGTTTTCATTATGTAATTATCTTTGGCCACAGCATAAGTATATGGTGCGTACAAAATTCTTAAATGTAATCTTCTTTCTGCACACCTTCTGTAACAGTTGAGGGAAGAAACCAGCAGGATAGACAAGGAAAGTCGGGAGTTTTGATTCAGGTGGAAAAGGATAAACTATAAAGAGATTCGGACTTGCTATTATTTACGTTTAATTGTGGCACTTTATATTAGGGACGTGGTTTTAATTAATGAATGACACATTCATTTATTTAATTCCACATTTAATTAATTATTGACACATTTAATTATTCATTTAATGCTGTATTTATTTATTTAATTTTGGCACTTTTTATCCTCCATAGAAGAGGGATCCAATGAAGCAGTAAATAATTGAATTTATTACTTGGCACATGGTATTGTGTGCATCTTACTGTATAGTCAGCTGCAAATATTAAAAGAGGTAGCTATGGTCTGTAGGTGGAGAAGATGCAGGCAGAGAAAGGGCCTTCTCTTTTAGAGCTTTAAAAGACAGGGGAAAAAAAACTAGAACCTCTTGCCTAAGATGACTTGGAGATTCAATTTCGGTTTCAATGCAAAGAAAGGGCCCAATCTAGGTGTTAAAATAATGTATTTCCTTTGAAGAAAAACAATATTTCTATCAGTTTTTTAGTGTTTCATGTTTGAAATTCAATTTTCACATTAAAAAATACATTCAGTGTAACGGGCAGGGACTAGACCTAGAGTTCAAACCAGCGCAGGTAAGAGACTTTTGATGCAAGCTTTATTGAAATATAACTTAAAAGCGGAGGTTCAGGGGTGCGCTGCTTGCTCCAAAACAGGAAACCTCCTGTAGCAGAGACAACAGGTTAGTAATCAGCAGATAGTAACGGGCTAGAGAGAAAGAAGCTGTATCACTAACCTGATTACGGGTCTTCCGAGTCTGGAGAACCGACCTGATGTCAGAGAGCCGGTCCGGTTATGGAACCCGACTTGGTCCAGGGCTTTGGGGGGTTACTGTTGGTACGGCCAACAGGCAGGCAGGCACTCCGTTCAGGGTTATCCAGGGTCGTTATCCAGAGGGGTCCGGTGTCCATACACAGAGAGACAGATATCCAGTGGCAGTACAGGTAGGGTTTGCCAAGAGAAGAGGTCCAGTTTCGGTCCAGATCTGTTAACAGGCAGGCTCAGAGATTTCACAAGGGATAGGGGCAAATCCGGTACTCACTAGCAAGCAGGGTCAGTTTCACGAGAGGGTTTCACTGGGTCAGGCTGGTAGGCAGGTCCAAGGACAGAATCGGGTCAGGCAAGAGACAGGCAATCAAAAAAGGCGAAATACTGGAATGCTGGTGAAGGTGGCTAGAGACAATCTGGCAGTGGCAGCCGATCTGCACAGGGTTTATATGAGGTGAAAACAGTTGGAACCAGTAAGGGCTGATTGCAGTTGAGCAGGTGTGATGAATGGTGGATCAGACCAATAACAGAGCTGAGACTGTCACATTCAGAAGTTCCATTAAGAGGCGATCAGAAACACTTTTACATATTTAAAAATGTATTTTTGATTTTAGATAACACGATAGTTAATTTCTCTTGTGTATTATTTTACAATATGACATCCCTTTTGACCAGTACATATAATTATCTTTTAAAGTAACTTCCTGTTACACTGTAAAAATGGCACGGCTGAGGTTAGAAGTGATTAAGCCCACCCTTCATTCAGCTCAATGTTTGAAGCCAAACAAGTAATCTGCTGATGTAATTTTTGAGTTTGTTTTGAATGTTCAGACCTTGTACGTTCTTGCAAGTTGTACTAGTAGAGTGATATATTTGGCCCTTGAAATGACAACCAAACATTGAATCAATCGGAGAGTTGGGGGAATTAATTATTTGTCTTCTTTGTGTCCCAAACTAATCAGCCCAATTGTGTGATAATTTATAATACAAGCTATCATTCTTCAAACTTTCCCACTTTAGGATTGATTTTTATTTTCTTTGTATAAATAACTAATTAATTCATATTTCCATCTGATATTTCATGAACTTGCACGATATAATTGACATGTAGTGTGATGCAACGTTTAAAACGTTTCTAAATTTGCTCTTCAGCTCCTCAAAATCCAACTGGCTTGCTGTCCTTAAGTGAAACAGAGACCAGTATAACTCTGCAGTGGCAAAGAGTGAGCAACGTCACAAACTTCATTCTGCAGTTCAATGGTACCATGACAAGAGTTGATGCTCCAGCTGGAAATGGACCAATAAATCACACAGTCTCATCACTTTCTGCTGAAACCA